GGGACCGTTTCCGTAGGCCGGAGAGCACCCCAGGTCGACACTCACTCACTCACTCACTCACCCAATTTCTTAACTAGGATCCTACAAGGTAACCCGACAAAGGAACTACAATGGAGACTATAGTTTTATACTCCTACGCAAGCCCATGAAACATTGCTGGCCTTCATCTCCTGATTCTCGTCTCCCTCATGGGCGAAGAGCCTTGGATTGAATGGAAAGACCGCGATGTCACTAGGGTTTAGGGTTTTGTTTTACAGTTTAGGGCTTAGCGGTACTTCGTTGTTTATCCATCAGTCAAAGCATAACAACATGCAAAGTGTGTGAAAGCATGTCAGGACTAGGCGCGAGTGGGAGGCTCCTATTGAGCGGACAGGTTAGGATTGTCAGGACACAGTACGGGTCTTCAAGGAGTTAGAGTTTTCGACTTGCTCTTGTGCTGCTTGGTGCGAGCATTACGGCCACCCAACAGACTCTGCGAGGAACCTCTGAGAAAGCGGTAAAGAACCTGTGCGAACCCTGTGAATACGGATTGACAAACGATCTGACAGGTGTGCGAGAAGCTTGTGAACAGAAATGAAACACCTGCGACGTGGCTATGACGAGCCATCCCGTGCCACGATGATCAGGCGGATGAGCCGCAACCCGGCTCCTCGGGTTTCCGCCCTCCCACCGACGGGGCCATGTCGGCAAGAAACCGAACAGTCCAATGCAACAGTGTCATAGTTTGTACGGAGTGAGAAAGGCGAAAAAAGGCCACTGACGTAGAAGGAGAAGACCAGCAGTCCTCAAGCCTCGCAACAAGAAAAAAGGCAGGCAACTCCAACCTCAGGGCCTGAAGTCAGGATGAGCAAAAGCAAACCTAAACCCTGATGTTGGCGGGCAGTCGACCGGGGTTCTCGTCCAGGCTCAAAGTGGGAGGTTCTTAGCTTTAAGGCCTAGGGCTTCAGGGCATGGCTTGCGGCTCTTGCGGCCGTTCTTTAGGGCCGGCCCCGAGGCTCGCGCGGTGGCCATGGTGAGGTTTTAGAGGAAAACAGTCCGGGAGCTTGGCCCTTCGAGTGATGATACATAGTAAAAGAACTGACGTCTGACACATGCATCACTGGTTCTTCGGTTTCAAGAACAGTTGTGGCAGCTTAGCCTAGCCTCTGCGAAGGAGCGTGCGAGAATCTACTCCCCAGAGCCTTGAACGAGAACCGGCAATCTCATGCAGCCTCGGGGCGTCTTCTTCTTCTCTTTCTTGCGCTTTTGCCGCTCCTGTTTAGGCGTCCTTATATTCAGGATCCTTGTATCATCTATCAGGGATTCCTCGTCGTCTCTACAACATTCATACTAACTTGGGTGGAAACCCTGTAAGATGCAAGGCATAAGCCGCGAGTAGGGACTCCAGACGCAGAGGAAACTCTCCCGATGCGATAGTGGTACTAGCCATCACCAGAATAACGTTGTCGTAATTAATCATAATCATAATCATGCTCATCACAATAAAGATCATTGATGTACACGACACGATACTGCTAATCAAACTACAAGAACCCTAACAACAGCAATGATAAGACGAATAATCATAGTCTTAATCATTGGATAACCGTCATCATCGTTACCACCATCATCATGATAGCACCTGGCATAATCATAGTAATAGTACTCATATAAGTGCCATCGAGCATTAACACACATCAACGATAATCGACGATAGAAAAACGTTACAAGAGGGAAGATGGCCTCAGAAGTTGGGGAGCCGGAATGGCTACTTACCCTAACCCTAAACCCTGAGAGAAGATGGCCTCAGTTGGGGAGCCGGAGTGGCTGGCGGATTTGCTTCCCACGCTCACGCCGCGCACCCAATCCTAGTGGGGAGTGAGGGAACACTCGCTAAGTCAAGGTATGGTAGGTTAGGAGTTTAGGGTTTAGGGGTTTAGAGAAGTTTGGGGGCACACAAGACCAAAAGTGCCACGATCTGCTCTTATGTAGAGGCCTTATAGAGCCTCTTTCCGTGTGTCTTGTCTTGCCTGTTGCCAGGGCCCCAAGAAGAGCGCCTACGGTATTCCAAGGTGGGGGGTAGGAGTTGTCTTGATGTAGGGGCTTAAGATTAAGAGTTTGGGGCTTTCGGAGTGTTCCGGGTTTTGGAGTTGTGGATTTAGGATTTCAGGGCGTGGGCATCGGGGTTCATTTACATTTTACACCGTCAAGCTTTGTCCTTGTTGAAATCCAACTAATTTGTGCCGTCCTTGTTGTTGCCACTATAGTTAGCAACATGTTGGTATGACTATGACTATGATCACTGCTATTGAATTTTGCTGCTGTATTTTTCTTTGAGCTGTAGTTACACCGGAAATGATTAGAAACATTTTTCGCCGTTAGCCTGCTACTATCATGCTGTCAGTAGGACTAAGACTACTAGCATGAGAGTTACCATGAACTGGTCATGATGACAATGATGATGATCATGATGATGATGATGATGATGATGATGATGATGACAGCAGTTAGGATTAGCGGAACCCTTGGGGATGTAGGCCCTCTCAATAAAGTCCCTTGAAGAGAGCCATAAGTACTGTTAAGAAGGGCCCCCAATTAAGGGGTCTCCCTATACTACCTAGGAGATGATGATGAGGAGGAGGAGCTTTCAGTTTCCCGTGAGGGCTTGCCGACTGGTGCAGCGGCGGGGAAGCACAAAGTCACGGCGTGTCCAGGTCAGGAAGGGTTTAGGATGTTAGCTTCGGATTTACCACAGAGTTTGCGGGGTTTAGGGTTTAAGGTTCGGGGTCAGTCTTACCTCAGAGGTTCAGAAAGGTTAAACGTTGAGGCTTCGCAGGCTTCGCAAATTTCTTCGGTTGGAGATCTAGGCTGTGAACCTGGCTCACTCATGTTACTACGCAGACGGCTTCTTACCGAATTCCGCTTCTTCTTGGGACTGTTCCGTGCGTCATTGAAGAGTGGAGTGGACTCATGCTGTCCAGAAGGAATGCTGTAGCAAGCAACGTGGCCCCCTTACTGCAACAACTGGAATGAAGCCCTTGTCCTTCGAAGAAGCCGAGCCACGTATTCAAGCTCCCAAAACACACAACACAAACCCACAAACCGCTCCCCTTCACTTCAAAAAGATCCTAAACACGCGGAGGCCTCAACCCCGCGAAACCCCTGAAAACCCCCAAATCTTTGGGCCTTGAAAGCACCGAAGAAGCGCCATAAACATACGATGATCTTTTGGTTTAAAGTGAAAGGTTGCTGTAATCAGAATCCCCACCACAGCGTCCCGTGTACGCATCATCTGGTGTTCGCCCGTGTTCCAATATATAGATCAAACTTAGATTTTATGAACTATTGTTAATCATGACACCCGACACCCGGAATGCTGATCCCATTGCAATATGAGAGCCATTCTCTGATTCAGGTGTTGCAAGATCTGCACCCCCAAAAGCCTGGAAGCTCAACCCCAATCAATATCGAAAACCTGACGTAAAGTATCAAGGCCCCTAATTTAAACTCCTGAAAGCCATATGAAAACCCGGAAAACTCTATTCTAATGATTCAAGCCCCTATCTACTGTGGTCCTTTGGGGCCTTACTACAAAGCCACCTTGGAAGGCCGTTTTTCGCGCACCCAGTCCTGCATTGTTGGATGGCTGCCAGAGATTGATGGGGCTCTCTTCTTACTCAGAAAATCAATAGCTCCTGCTTTCAAACTGCAACGGCAGGGATATCCCTTTTTGGGAAGTGCACGAGGTCCGGTGTGCTGCAGCAGGAAATGTCAAAGCTTGCTACCGTTCCAAAACAACAAGAAGGCTCTTCTGCCCTGACTCGAAGCAATGAAGAAGTTTCGGACCTTTTAATTTAACAAGAAACACTACAGCTTCTGTGTCCTTGCATGGAGAGTTTTCTTTGCTACCCCCCGAAATAGAGGAGCTCCTCTACTTCTTCAAGAAGAAGCCTTCCATTAACTCAATGAAGAAATCAGTAGCTCCGCAACCTCGTGATAAGATCCAAAATCGACTGGACTTCTCCAGCATGACAGCGCCTAAAGAGACCATACTCCGTGAAGGTACAGAATCACAATCCTGGTGTGTAGAAGCTGCAGGCAGACTTGGCGTGTTGGCCCGGCAGATGCTTTAGCACCTATAAGGTTACCAAAATGTCGCTACAAAAAACATCAAATTCCAGGGCCCGCAATGCGAAATCCTTGGCAGTGATGCGAAAACCTTGGCAGTGATCAACAACCGCCACCAGCGCCAGCACCAGCAGCAGCA